CAGGAAGAGGGGTCTCGGGGGTTTGTTGTTTTTGCTGTCCGATAGCATCTACATGGGTTCCTCGGGCCCCGGCTGTTTATTATGCTGGCCAGACAGGTTGTGAGGAGCCGTGTTCGGGAGGGTGGAGCACATGCTCCGAGCTCCATCACCATGGAGACCTGCTGTCGACAGCATCCATCAGTCATCTGCCCAGAAAGTGTCAGAATTTGCACCCCGGGACGTCCGTGGGTCTTTGGGATCCCAACCGAGCCCCCTCCCCTCTCCTTCTGCTTCTCAGCTGGCCAGATGTTGCTTAATCACCGTCACTATCTCTTGTGATGTTTCAGAGCGTTAGGAATATCTTGTCGGGTCCACGTCTTTCTCTCGTTGCATATCTACAAGCCCAATTGCCAACACGGTCAATAGTTTGGTCAACGATTTAACAGACGGGCATAAAACCTTTTTAATCAAAGCACACAATCAAGATGAGAAAAAAATGTGTTTTTAACACTTTCCTCCTTCTGCTCTTGACATATTTCCACTTTTCCTGGTTCCTCCTCAGGAAGGGCTCCCGAAACCAAAACCCTTGGACTCGACAAGCTGGGCGTGCAGCTCAACCAAGAGACGGGGAAAATAGTCGTGGGCCCAGACGAATCCACCTCGGTGCCAAACGTCTATGCTTTCGGAGACATCGGCGAGGTAGGCCATCGTCGACAGGCGCCAGCCTGACAGCAGTCATGATGCCGATGACAATGAGGGGAGGAGGAGCACTCTATAATTACCACTCTTAATTCTGACGGGGAAAAAAATACACAAGATGCCATGACACGCCACACCCATCCAGAAAACTGGAAATAGTTCTCTTAGTTAAAGCTTTTGTGTCTCACTGTGCTATTAGTGCAGCAACATTAAAAACACAAACTTCAGTTTCATTCTATGGGAATTCTCCCTAACAGACCAACTAGAAGTTCAGCTGAATTGGAAAGCAGAAGGAAGAGGAAACTTATTTTCAAATAATTAAGTCAAAGGACTCCATGGTGATTGATGACAACGTGACTATCAGTCATGCACTCCATAAATCTGCCATTTATGAAACAGAAGAAGCATCATTGGCAGCTTGCCATGTAGGGAACGCAGCAAACCCGGAAGGAAAAAAAAAAATCTCTTTCCTGCTTGGAGAGTAATTTGTGTCGGGTAAAAATGAAAAACTAATATGGCACTTCAAGTGGAGCACACCGTCCCCACTAGGAAACGTGGTGGTGGCAGCATCATGTTTAGAAGATGTTTGCTTTCAACAGGAGCAGGAAAACAATCAGAAATCAGAGGTTCACCTTTCAGCAGGACAACACTCTTAAACATAAAGCTTGAGCTACTGAAATGTTTTATCCCGTCGAAGTCCGGAGACAAATATCATGAAACACACCTGACCGACGTGTTTGTATAAAAGGAGTGGAGAATATTTTCAATCTGTAGATGTGCCACGAAAAGGAGTGCTGTTGTTTTAATTTAGGCAATAAAATGTTAACATTCTTATTTAAAAAGGAATTTAAATATTTGGATTTTTAACATTTTTCTTATATTGTATAAACAAGGCTTAAGTGTCTAAATTAAAAATCTGCAGAGTGTGCCATTTCTTTTTATCTGATTAATTATCAGAATAATTGATTGAATTATAGATTACTAAAATAATCATTAGTCGCAGCCTTAAACATTGCAGTAAAATACATGGATGTTTTCTGTTTCCATGTCAGAAAACAGAAAAAGGCTGTGAAGACTTTTAACTTCTTAAAGCATTTAGTGTCCAGTCAGTCTGAAAACTTGATCATCTTTCCAAACGTTTGTTGAAGCCTTTAGTTTTGGCTTCATTTTAATCATTTCTTACCAGTTTCATGCTGACATGCAGAGTATTTTGCTGTATACAAACATGCAGGTGAAATGTTTAGGCTAGCTGTGATAGCTTTACTTGATATGTTTTACCAATCAAAACTAGCTGGGAAAAAGCCACTTAACCTCCTTCTGGGAGCACATTTAAAAACAGTTAAATGTTCAGATTTTCACAATATCTTGGCACACTGTAAGGGAAAAAATGAAATTAGAAGGAATTTTGGTTAAAATAAAAGAGCTGAAAGCTGGATGAGCGAAGCTCATCATCACTTGTGTAGAAACTCATAAGTTGTTGTCTTGTGAGAGTTTTTTTTTTTTTTTTTCTCACCTGGATTAACTTTAATAATGTGATTGTAGAAGCTCTGGAGCTGGCACTGTTATTACAAGTCAAACCTGCTGCATGTCAGCGTTGTTTTTTCTACCACGACCAACTAGGAGCTTCCTTCCTGCCTCCCAGGTCTCATGACGCACACACACACACACACACACACACACACACACACACACACACACATTCTCTGAGCCGCTTTGATTGACGGCTAGCTTTGATGAGTGCTTCTCTCCAATCTGTCTTCCAGCTTTTTCCCAACAGCAAAGGCGTTTTTTCCCCTCTTCAGGTAAAAACTGGTAGAATAGTATTTTTATTTATTTATTTATTTTTTTTTGGTAATCTTCCATGCAGTATGGTGACGCATGCTAACCGACTTGCAAACAGCGGCTGGAATGCCGCAGCGCGCCGCCGTATACGTGCGGAGGCGCTGGAGATGTTTGCTGATAACAGGATGTGTTGCTGATTTAACAAGTTGAAGTCGTGTCTTTAAAACTGCCCTGCAGCACTGCTGTTTCCTGAACGCCACAGTTGGTTGTGCGTCTCCATGGCTACGCGTTTGTCTGTTGGCAAGCAGCCAAAACAATAAAGAAAAACACACACGGGGAAAGATTTTCCAAATAATTTCACCCCTTTGAATTAATAAGCAGTTACTGAAATGATTGTTTACATCGTTTTATGCATCAAATGTTGTATGTTTTTTTTTTTTTTTTTAAATTACTAATGATCACAGTGTCATGTTCCTGGAACATTTCCACACTTTATCACGTATCATCCACGGAGCTCAGCGCATTTTACTTGGATTTTTATCTGATACGGCAACATAAAAACGGTGAATGATTGTGAAGTAGCATGAAAATTTTGCATGTTTTTCAAAATCCAACCTGAAGATGAGGCTGTCTATGTCCATTCTCCTTTACTCTGACACCCCAATAATAAAAATCAGGAGGAGGAAAGTCAAAGGAAGATTTTCTCACAGGAGAAAACTCTGCAAACATGTGGGAGAGATTTCAGACCAAAACCTTTTGAAATTCTGCAGAAAGAATTCCAGTATCATTTTCAGAGATTCCACTGACCTTGTGTGACCGAGCATCCGCTGTTTATATGAAGGAAAATAGGCTAAAACATTCCAGTGCCTGGATGTGCAAAACTGGTCAAGAAAAAGAACTGGTTCTACAAAAAACCCGACTCAGATTCTTCAGCTGGAATAATTTAGAAACCCTATTGCATTTTGTCTCATCTTTGTCTGCTGATAACATTTGGCACTATAAGACGCTTTTTTTTTTTTTTCATCGTTTGGCTGGTCCTTCTTTATGTATTTGTTTTTTTTCTTCTCTTTGTGACACGTTTTTTGACTGATGTGTTAAATGCTCCTTCATACTGATGGACATGAATCAAGGAGTAAACATTAGCGAGGCCAGCAGAGCACTGACAGCAGAGTGTCAGATTTCCAAGCCAAGGTCAACAGATTCTGTGAGTCGGTTTAAAATCAGGCAGCTGAACACAAAGTGTCACCTGATCATGTTCTCAACATGAACAAAGTCCCACTCAGGTTGATCATTTCTAAGAAAGGAAAAAAAAAAAGAAACCTATACATACGTTTTTTTCCCCTCTACCTGACATAATTTTTTAACTGATTAGACTTATGGTCCAGAAAATCTTAACAAAACTCACAGAGGATATTAAAATTTAACAAAATCAACGTTATTGCATTTCTGACGGGCAAACTAAAATGAACCTTTTGAGACTCCATAGTTGCTATAGTCACACATGTATTACAAGCCATTTTCTGTGGGTATTTTGAGTTAATGCAGAGTCTGGGATGATGAAGTTGTTGTCTTGTGAAAACTTTTGATGTATCATAGTTTTACCCTTTGCTAATGTATACATTATTAAAACTGCAGTGTGTAACTTTTATAAATAGTATGATTTTTACATATTTGTTAAAACTGCCATGTCGTGAGAGTTTGAGGCAGATAACCTGTGAAAAGCTCCATCTCCCCCATCTCCTCCCTGAGTTGCCATCTGAAAAAACATGCATCAAAAACAACCAATCAGAGCCAGGAGGAGGATCTTGGCGCTGTCAATCAACCTTATGTACTGGTTTCTAAATGTGAGGAGAAACAACTTTACAGGAAAACTGTTTCTCCGCCGTCATCTGTGATCATGCATTGGTCTGTTGTTACTTTTCATTCATATGTTGAATGAAAAGTTTAATATAACAACAGATGAATTGGAGCAACTTCACATTTCTCTTTGCTTCAGGGTCGTCCAGAGCTGACACCTACTGCCATCAAGGCAGGAAAGCTCCTTGCCCACAGGCTCGCCGGCCAGAGCACCGACCTTATGAACTACGACAACGTAAGACACACACACACACAATCACACTCTCACACTAACAGTAATAAAAGCCTTCATCTCTCCGCACCTCAAGCGCGTGTGGCTTTTTACGTTTATCGTTTTCTGCCAATGTGAGGCTGTTATTTGGTTGGTCTCTCATCTGAGCCTCCCCTCCATCTAACTGCTAGTCTCTCTTTAGGATGATTCATAGCATAGTGTACCAGCATTTTCCACGACGGCGTCGTCCTGCGTCGTTCTCGGTATACGTACTCGTCTGTCAGCGGGTTGCAGTGAAGGTTTTATTACAGCGCCTGTGTTCAAAACAGATTAAAGGCTTGTTTTAGCTGTGTGTATTGAAGTATTTGTCTTAAAATTCATCTTCACATATAAATATTTTAAGCAAAGGAGCATTTCTGTCGTTATCGAAATGAACATGGGCAGTCTCCACCTGCACGCGACGCTTTGGCAGTTTTGTAATTAGACGCTGCGTGGGATTTTCCCGAAAGAAATGAGCGGGGCCGTTTTGGCAAAGTGTAAACGTTCCCAATTGTGTTTGTGTGTGACAGGTGGCCACCACCGTGTTCACCCCTCTGGAGTACGGCTGCGTCGGCCTGTCAGAGGAGGAGGCCGAGAGGAGACGTGGGAAAGACGGGATAGAGGTGGGATCAGTCATTCTCATCCCGCCCTGGTCTGGAGCGTTAAATAATGGAATTTTTTTTTCTTTTTTTACCAGAGTTATTTAATAATAACACCATAAAAAAACTTCAATGCATAAAACATAAAAGCCTCAAAATTTGAAATAGTCTGAAATATATAAATATAAACATCCTTCCTACGTGTTTAAACACCCTCAGCAAGCTGTGAGATCCAGCTTTTCAGCATGTTTCATTCATTTTAAATAAAAATCAACTTCCATTATAAAAAACATAATGTTGCTCTCCAGAATCGGCTTGGATCATTTCACCATTGAAACACAAACAATTGGAGGCAGAACTTTATTATTCCCACAACCACTTCTGGCAATAAAATGGCCACTTAGCATGATGCTACCACGTTGGTTGAAGGTGCCATAGTTAAGTTGGTAAGTAAGTAAACTACTTATATGGCACATTTTACAGGTCAGAAACCACAAACGGCTTTGGAAAATATAAGACATAGAAGATAAAATAGAAGGACTAATTTGTCTTGTCATTATGGACTGACAGGTCAGTCTTTCTCTTGTCTGATGCTAAGACGTTTTCCAGAGGGCATTTGGCAGCGGCCACGTTCAGTTGACCTTGAAGTAGTTGATCTGTTGGTTTAATGGTCTTTCTTTGTTGCCATCCTTATATTCCAGGTTATACCTGCTTAACGCACACAGGTGACATTGGTGTTCCAGTAACTTCCATTTTATTGAACCTTGGTCACCACTAAGAGTACAGCCTGACTTTATGTCTTCTGACCTGGACAGTTTGGGTCAGATGAGGTCCAAGAGGGCACTGCTGAAAATGTCTACACTTATGGGAAGAATAAAAATAATCTTTTATAGTCAGACAGCATCTCTCTGTGTGTGTCTTTCCTCTCTGTCTCTCCTTTTCTTTATTTTCTCCTTCTTACTTGCTTCCCATTCTCCCACTGGATCTCTGGCTGGCCCACTTCATTTCAGATCAATCAGAAGAAAGATGTCAGCAAAAATTAAAAGCTAATTTAAGACCATTTCAGCCAGGAGATGAATAATTTGGGTCTTATCTGTATGCCTGCCCATCGTAGAAATATTTGCCATAACTTCATTGGGGAACTTTTACATTTTTATGTTTTAAATTCAGCACAAAGGAATGTAGAATCTGGAAAAAATTTGAATTTTTACAAAACAAAAACTGTTAGAACACTGGCTTCAGTCACTCAACTTTGGGAGGAAAAATAGTTAAAATGCATCATAAAAAGCTTCAAATTAACATGATATTCAGGCCTCCTTCTACTTCTAAACAGAACCCTGTGATTCCAGCGTAAAAACCCACAGGAAGCTTGACCTGTTGTTGGATGAAATGGATAGGGTCTTTAGGGTCCAGTATATATTTTAATATATAAAAAAAGCAAAATAAAATCCATGCATATTTCATTTAAAAACAGCTGTACCATTATTGGAGAAATAGGTAACAAAATCGAACAAGTCGATTATTCAGTTTTTGTAAATATTTGTATTTAATTTAGTTATAGTCATTGAAAGTACAATGCCCCCCCAACAACAGCTTTACAAACACTGACACACACACACGCACACACACACACACACACGCACACACACACACACACACACACGTACACAGTACATTAGCGAGCGGCTCTTGAGTTTACCTGCCAGATGCTAGCAACACCTGCGGAGGGCTGACGATAAACGCGGACCCCTGCCCTTGAGTGACGGGCTAGCAGGAGGTCTGATTGAGGTGTGTGTGAGGTGACGACAGGCGCGCCGAGATCTGAGGAGGAGCCGCCCCCTCCCCAACCCGACAGCTGCACGGCCCTCTCAACTTGTGTCGGCACGTTCGCTCGCAGAATCAAACTCTGTACGTCTCAGAGAGGACTGACACACTGAGTGGGCTGTTTACGTTTTGGCAATTGAAGCTTTGCAGCTTGTTTTTTTTTTTCTCCATGGCAACACGTCTTCATTTTCAGTTGGATGCTAATTGCTAATCTGTTTGAGTTGTAATCGTGATCCCTTTAAGTTTGCTTTTTTGTTTTTGTATACTGTCAGCTTTTGGTTTTGTGAAATTTCACCAAATTTGTCATAGCCATCCTCATGGGTTTACACAATACCAACTGAAATCTAACAAACCCTTTTTCTGTGATGCTCGACTAGATGTTATGAAGTCTTTGTGAACTGAAATGTTTATGTGTCTGTAGGTTTTCCACGCCTTCTACAAGCCACTAGAATTCACCGTCGCAGAGCGCGATGCCAGCCAGTGTTACATAAAGGTAACCCCAGAAGGGCATCCCATCATCCTGAGGGTTCATTCATGATCCTTCAGTCTAAAAAAAAAAAAAAATAAGGATCGTTTCAACTCTGCATAAATATGGAAAAAGACAATAAGAGTAAAGAGAAAAAAGTTTCTGTTTCCAGACCTTGCATCCCTCCAGTTAAATATATTAATATTGAGTGAGTTGGACTAAACAGATTACATGTCAGACTTTGGTTGTCATTCAGCCAAAGCAACTGATTCATGGACCAATGTTTGGAGATGGATAGAGACAGCCGCACTCCAACCAGTTAAAATCAAAGTAATTATCTTTGTTTCTTTTGTAGCCATACTCCAGAAATAAGGGAAACTTATTTCACTCAACACACATGCAAGAACGACTAAACTTGTTCAGATGACCAGATGAGATATATTTTACTTAATATTTTTTGGGTGCCCCACATCTTTCTGATGCCGCCCTGGGCAACTGCCCATAAAGCCCTTATCTAAAACTGTCACTTTATTCACGTTTTCAAAAAGTGTTTGATTATCTCAAACCAGATGTGTCTGAAGATTCTCAGTTTTCCAGGTATTTATATTCAGGAAGGTTTAAGGGAAACCATTTTGTTTTGTTTTAGAAATGTTCCTCTCCGTTGATTTCCTGGGGAACTGGTGCGATGAGGCGACAGCTGCTTGTCTTTATCCAGCCAACTGACCGCTGTAATTCGTGGATGTGGATTTTCAAGTTCGCACACATAGACATGCACGCGCAGCTGGTGGCACAACACAAGAAAGTTGATAAATGCTCAACTTTTGTTACTGCCTGGGAAAACTTTCACCCTTGGCTGTCGTTTGTTGCTGCCTTTGTGTCGCGTCTGTCAATACGTTAGTTTATTTATTCAAAACATTGGGAAACCAAACAACAATCTTGGACATCTTGAGTCTGTAGAAGTGTGTAAATGTTCTTTGTAGTAAGTGTGTCTGCATTAGCTAGCATTGGGCTAATCCTGCTGTTTCTCCTTTTATCTTCAGGTTATATGTGAGAGGGGAGGCGACCAGAAGATTCTGGGTCTGCATTTCACTGGTCCAAATGCTGGAGAGGTCATTCAGGGATTCTCTATGAGTTTGCAGTAAGTTCAGAATAATCCTGGCTTACATTTGTGTTTAATATTAACTATAGACCATAAGAAAATGACTGGGATAAGAGGTATTGTTTGGAGGTGACTGAATTTTGCAAACAGAAAAAAAGATTTCACTCAGTTTAACAAAGAGGTGTCACTGTTGGAACCTGAACTTTTAAATTTATATACTCACATTCCTTAATGATTGAGTTAATTACAAGTTGTTTTGCTTGCAAATGACAATTTTTTTTTTTTTACTTCAGGGAATAACTTAAATATTATTATAACAAAATTTGCTGAAAGAAATTAAATTCAAGAGCTTCAATAAGCTATGGACTAAATCTAAATCTTTGTCATGAGAAATGATTATTTTATTACCATGGTAATAAACATAGCAACTAAGTAATTTTACATCCTTCTAAGTGACGTCTTGTTTGAAATGTTAATGTTTATGCTGCATTTAAAGGTCCTTTGTCTTTATGATTAAGGACCTTTTATTTTTACCTTTGTTTTTATTTTTATGAACTATTTTATTGTTTATAGCACTTTGAGAATTCTATGAATGTAATAAAACTTCTAAGTTAATTAAATAAATATTTTTCTGTTATTTGGTAATAAAAAACATAGCCTGAGAAAACACATTGTGACTTTATAAACATTTGATATATTGTTATTTAAGAAACACGATGGTCAGGCAGTTACTTGGTTCTGGATTTGCTTTGTGAAAATAGGTAATATCCCTGACCAGCCATATTTTCTAATAATATAGAAGAGAATTATTCTTTTTTTTTCTTTTGTTCTGATGGGATTATATATATATATATTTTTTTTTCAAACTTTGACCTAGTTAGAATTTTTGGTGTTAATACTAATATATGTAATGTAACGAAATGTCTGAATAATCAAACCTATGCAGAATCCAACATATTTCTGCATTTCAGACCATTTGATGTCACAGATCATCAGCTTTTATTTCTGAATAAAATCTGGCATTAATAACTGTATTTGTAATAACTCTATTTTTGTGCCTCTTCTTAGGTGTGGAGCCACATATCCTCACCTGCTGCAGACCGTAGGAATCCACCCCACCTGCGCTGAGGAGGTGGTCAAGATCCACATCACAAAGCGCTCTGGTTTGGACCCAACGGTCACCGGCTGCTGAGGTTAGGCCCCTCGGTTTCTGAACGCAGCGAGCACACGGGGCCCCTGTAGTGGGAAATTGAAGGGGGCTCTTCTAGGGGTTTTCCCAGTTTCACTTTACCTCACCGGGACTGGTCACTGCAGCTCCTCCACGGGAAGGTCTGGTCACAAACCAGGTCTGTTATTGACCCCTACACACAGATTTGTGCCTTGAAAGAACATAAGGTAATGAGAAAGAGAGCGAGGGCGAGAGGGCCCTCGTGTGGAATGAGCTGCTTTTAAATAGCCCGGCTCATCAATCAGGATGGAAACGCACATTTAGGATTTTCGCTGAGAATTCACAAGAAGCGGATCTGAATTTTCTTCTGAATATACATTCTGCAAATATTGTTGTTTCTCCGGCTGTACTTCCTGTCCATTAGTCTTCGAGGTGACACATACCATACGGCGCCCCCAACCCCCAAAACGTGACACTGATGGATGGCCCCAGGGCCGTCGCCGCAGCGACACCGCTCCATTTCCCATGGACACAAATAGTCAGCAGGGCTGCCGTCAGTCAGCCTGCAGAGGCCTGGACCGAGGAGTTTACCCGTCTCCATCCACAGGCGTGGACAAATATACTAATATGTTCTGTCAAAAAGCCACACGAATGCAAAATCCAAGACTTAACACAGCTCCAGTTCATTTTACCTCAGCTGCTCTACCCAAACTCACCCAAAGGCGGCGCTGTTGCCCTCCTGTTTCCTGCAGTGCATGCTGAGCAGACAGTGGAAGACGGGATGAAGCAGTCACTGTATAAAACATGAACCCGAACGCATTCAGGTTGCACATTTAATCCCTTTAATCCCCATTAGAGATGCGTGCCTCCAGAAGTCTGACTTTATTGGTGCCAAGCTGATAAGGGTTATCGGCTGTATATTTACACGGATGGCAGGTTGGCCCTCGAGAGTCATCACCCCTGAAGATAAGGCGACTTGTTTATATCAATAAAGCATTAACGGAGCCCCGCGTCCACCAGAGACCGTTCAACCTGCCGCCTGCGTCCGACATCTTGGCCTCTTTAAAGTCGACGGGGCAGAAATCGAAGAACCGGCGAGTACGTCAAAGTTTGTTTTTATTTGAAGTTTAATCTGCCCCGTCTGATTAATGATTCCGATGAAGGGAGTGACAGACCGTCAGGAGATGGTGGGGGTGGGGAGAGAGAAAAAAATAGAGCAGGAAAGCTACCAGGTTTGTTTGAGAGAGAGAGAGAGAGAGAGAGCCGAGTACCAGCCCCGGTTGGGGAGGGAAAGAGGGGGGATTCCTGTGTGCTCTGTTCAGGGCCGAGGTGCTGACTGAAGGACCCTGACCTCCGCTCAGCAGGAACAGCTTGACTCTATCACTTGGAGCACAGAGGGCTCATGTGGTGTAGCAGAGCACAGCAGGGGCCTGGGTGGAGGGGAGGAGATGAACTGGGGGGCCGGGGGGGGGCAGCATGGGCCAGGGAGCAGACCAAACCAACCAACACAATACTGAGCTGTGCCCTGGGTTACTCAGACTATGTTCCTGTGCTTAACGAGCCACTTCAGGGGGCCGCCAAGGTGGGCCCGAGGCAGCGCAAAGGAAGTCATTGAGACTGTCAGCCAAACTGTAATATCTGTTTGTTTTTTACCCTTCACCTCCCCTTTTACCGGGTCCCGTCTTCTCTCCTATTTACCGCTCTATCCAGCCGTTAACGCGCACAAAAAGATTTATTTCTTGTAACTTTTACTGAGATGTGTCACTGTTTGGTATTAATATTGAGGTCAAATACTTGCCCTCAGAGCTTCAGCTGTGCGAGTGGGGGTCAGGGCTCAACTTTCAGGTCGGCCAGCTAATGATGACCTGCACTCAAAACCAGAACCTGGGGAGTGCAGGCCTGATGTCACCTGGCCACAAACCAGCTGTAAATAAACCGAGAAATTAAATTTTACAATAAAGCTTTGAAATCTGTTATTTATATGTAAAATGATAACGCACTCGGATAATCGTGTCGATAATAAAGAAAGTGGTTCAAAGTCTGAAGGTGCTGCTGTTTCAACATGAGTATATGATAAAAATAAAACAGAACCATTTGTAAAGGGAAGACGAAGCGAAAGGTGCTTTAAAAAAATACCCATTAAATATTAAGAAAGATTCCTGCATGCCAATTATTTGTAAAGAGAAAGAAACTCATGCTAATGTGTGAATGCTAGACTGAAGCTAAGTCTAGCACTAGATTAGCTTAAGTTAGCATTAACTGCTAGTCTTGCTTTGTCCAAAAAGAGGGGAACTGTGTGGGTGTTGCTTTTATTCAGAAGCAGCCGTTTTGTTTTTAACACCCAGACTTTTATCATTAAAAAAAAAAAGTCCTTTAGATTTAGCCAAGAATTCTCATTTCCTTGAATCACAAATTTCATGCTAAGCTAAAGAGACATTTTTGTTGTTACCTTGACAATCATTTGCTCCAAATATTTACACCTAATCAGTCACTGTGATTCTTCACTACTTCATACTTCTGCAGGTTACAGAAAATACCTGAGCAGATAAAACTAATCTGTAAAACTCATTAGATTTATGAAACCTTTAACCTTAGTTAATAATGAAGCAAAATATTCTGAACTGATCACAGATTAATTTTTTTATCTGACACATGAGGGTACTGTTCACACAATAATAATTATTTTTATCCACGCTAAATAGGGATGACAACCACAAGTGGAAATCAAATGTATTATATTTTCCAACTCACTACATGAATGAAATTAATCATGAGATTTATGCATTTTTATATTTTTTTCTTTTAGCAACACAATTTAACTATAACTAAAAAGAGAGGTACACTGGTTATTAACCTTTTATGTCTAAAATTAAAGTTCATGACTAAAAATGGAGAAGCTTGAATTCCAATTGTCAAATAGATGAATTAATACGCAATTATTTCAGAAACGTGCAGTTTATTTGCTTGGTTTTGCTAAATTTCAGATGAGGAAGAAGTAAAAGAAAAACCTGAATTTAATGCTTTAATACTACTCACTGTGGGACAAAATGACTCAAATCATAATGAAGCTTAATATGATGCTACGTTTTGTCATGTAAGATACTATTACACGGGTGGCTAAATGCTAAACGTGTAGGCCATCTGAACCCAAAGCATTTTACTGAAATACATAAGTTTGCTGTATTTGATCAAGAAAATGTTTTTTATTGAGTAAAAAAAAAAAAGTTTCACAGCTGTGGAAAAACCCCACCCCAGTCTAAATGATAAGAATGTATATATTATGTTGCACAGTGTGACAGCAGACATCATGCAGCACATTTCCACCCCAGCTGATGTGCCGGTCCATCCGAGACGTTTTGATGGCAACCGCCGTCAGAGTCGACGGTCACTCTTTGACCCCCGGGTTGTCTCCGCTGACAGCCGGCCCTGCTATGTGGCCCCGTCACTCAGCTCCGGGCACCAACAATAGCAGAAAATTCCAGCGTGTTTGTTTGGTTAAGGAGAGAGCTCTCTGAAACCCCTGAACCTCCTCGAGATCCACGGCAGCCTCACTCACCCTGCGCACCGAGCCGGTGTCGGTCCTGCTCAAGAAAGACGGTGGGAGGAAAGTACAGCCGCTCTCTCAAGAATGCTCGGCCCCCCGTTCGGCAAAGTGTGTCTCCTGTGTTGCTCCACAATGGAGCAAACGGGTTAAATCCACCTTGAAATGCACTTAGCAGAACATGTCAACATGTCAGGGTGCGCTCTGCTCTACGCTCCGTCTTAATCCAGCCCATTGAACGCTGACAGTTGTCTGTGAGTCAGATATTCACGGGGTCTTTGTCACTTTAGCTCTTGAGCTCCAACAGACCTGCTTCGGGGTGAGGGGGAGAAAAGCAGAACTCAGGTAACATGTTAAAACACACTTGCTAGTCGCAATGCGCTGCAGTCACAGCTAAGGCTTTGGGATGTGGAGAAACGGATCCAAACCTTGTGTAAACATGTGTTAAACGTGAGGGAGAGGATAAACCAGAGCAAGGATTACTGGTTGAGAGACGAATATGGCGCAGTTTTGGCCACTGTTGTTGCTCTGGCGGTATCTGGCTCAGGAGCCGTCAGGCTGAGCTGCCTGCAGGGCGTGGATGGAGTGCAGTAGCTGCAAACAGGATCTTCTGGGAACTTTGTGTCTAAGAAGAAGGTGCTTGGTTGGATTTACCTACAGATTTCAGTCAAGTAGTGTGCAAAGAGGTCTCTTTGATTAAAGTGTCTGGATTCTCATCAGGAGTCTTGACAGCCATCCATCAAAGCAGGAGTTTAAAGGAGAGCAGTATGATGTTTTCCAACCACTTTGTATAATTTTGTAGCACAGTTCAAGTAACTATGCTGCCTTCAGTTGTTATAAAAATGTTGTCTATGTTAAATATGACTTGAAGTTGGGCCCATGTCACCTCAAAAACTCCTGCTATTTCTGAAACTTCACCTCCAGGAAGTCATCACAACATGGCTCCTCTATTAACCCTTTAACAATGTTTTTATCAGCGTTTCACTGAGAAGTAGTTCATGTAATGAGCTCAGTAGATGCACAGTTTCACCAGGTGTTTGCTAATTGCTGCTGGCTAGTCTGAAGGAGCTGAGCGGGGGAGCTTGAGAGCCTGGAAACCATCTCAAAGGCCGTCATAGCCCAACCAAGCATTTTGCACAGCTGAATGGTTTGCCACGGGAGATTCAAGGATTTCGTAAACATGCATGAGAAAGAATCAAAGCAACACTGCAGGTATGTTTTTGAAGAGTCAATAACATTATAACTCAATGTAAAGCTAAAACAAATTTATTTTACATAATTCTGCCCCTTTTTCAATGTTTTATTGGCTCCAGTGGCCTTTATTTGATAGTGAATTGACAGAAAAGTGGGTAATGAGAGAACAGGGAGGGTCATCAGGCCGGGACTCAAACCTGTGACGGCCGCGTCGAGGACTAAGGCCTCCATAGGTGGGTTGTGCTTAATCCCTGCGCTGCCACAGGACTCCTTCTGCCCCTTTTCTAAACCAAAACGAAGGTTCTTCCTGATGTTTTACAGTTTCACACACTGCCGAGAGCATTTCCCTCCCATCTGCTGTGCCAACACAATCTGCATGCTGCATACTCCCAATTGATAATGTCAAGGTTGTCTCATTTCTTTCCCTCGCCCTGACGTCAGCGAGTCTCTTTGCAACAAATGTACCCTCTGCAAAACTCCCATTGACCGTTCGCTTCCTCTGTTGACATATTTGGATGAAAAAGGTAGAGTGATAAAGGAGGAGGACACCTGTCAAGGTGAGGGTGCTTTTTTTCTTTTTCTTTTTCTATTTTTTTTTTTTTTTTTTTTTTTTTTTTTTTTTTTTTTTTTTTTGGTAGTCCAGCAGAAGTGGAGGGCCAGTGAAGTGACCTTATCTGACCCCTGATAAGAACAGGAATACCCACAGGAATGGCCTAAATTCAATGCATGTGGCTTGTCCTGGGATGCAGTTATTTGGAAAAGAGATTTACTGTAGAAGCAAATGGTCTTACACAGAAGACAATGGTATCTATCTGCAAGCGAGTAAGATGTTTGCTTTATGTTCATGTAATCCCCAAAAAGTCATCTAGAGAGTGATTCCAATCAGTAACCTCAGCTCCTAAATCATTTAGTCAGGTCTTCTGCCACACAGGAAGCCGTCTTATTACCTCTGGAAGCAGCGCAAAGATTTACTGAGCTCATGTTTGATGACAGCACACAACAAAGGAGCCACATTTGTGTGTACGTGTGTGCGCGCACGAGCGTGCTCGACTGCCAAATCGTGTTGGTTTAAACCTGAGCTGTTTGCATGCAAAAACAAATCACTTTCGCATTCTCTTAATGTCTGGATCCAAACAGGACGCGTCACGTCTTGTTCTCTTTATTTGGACTCAAACAACCTCTTAGTCACCGTCTGCTGGATCGGATACAGTTTCCTTCCCTACATCAGTCGTCATGTCGATTTAATTACCGAATTGATTTGCTGTTGACTACTGAACCAGCCCCGAGATGAGCAATAGGGCCCTAAGTGGGCAAGCTGGTCTGGCTGAGCTTCAGTCAGGCCATTAAAACTAAAGAACAATGTCATTGATAAAAGTAAAGGAGGTGGATGAGTGGAGCTTGCCAACAGCTGACGTCATCCAGGACATGCTACGGTGGAAAATTGTCTGCTCCCTGAAAATTGAGCTGTTAGCATCTCATGACAGTTCAACAGACGGCAACGTCCCTCAATCAAAGCCCTTTTCAGAATCATTGCAGGACTGACCACTACCCAAAATCCTCCATACCCACATCATCATCATCGTGCACAATGACGATCTGAAGATGTTACAAAGCAAGGAGAGCACTAAACAGAAATGTAAGTACGATTAATAAATCAGCGCCACCAGTGAAACCTGATGTTCCCAGATGCTCTTAATCTAATTTTACTGAACTTCAGCAAATTTTACAAAAGAGAAATTCTGCATGATCGAAGCAGGCAGAGTCGAATTATACTGAATCTGGTTTTGCTGTAACAGCAGCAAAAGGTGATATCACATAAAATCCCAACCACAATACATTCACTAATGAAAATGTTCAATAAATGCAGGACAGTGAATACTGCTGACTTTGGTAGACCTCTTTTTATATAATATATTTTACTGCTTGTTCTAAACTTGCCAAAAAAAACCCATATATGGTGAACATTTCCTAAACTGTCTGGATAATACATCTTGAAATGAAGCTAAATCTTAAAAACCCAGTGTTACATCAGCCTAAGCAGCCCAGAGAGGACATATTTCCGCTCTGATCTGAACTTGACACAATTTAGGAGCTAATCCGTTTTACAAGCTGCTGCCTAACAAACTGCTTTTTGCTTCCGACAGAATTCGCCGAACACCAGCAGAGCCGAGAAATCATCAACACCGAGCTGACAGCTTCCCTCCGACAGGGTCTGCTTCAGGGCTCAGGTGTTATCAGTCTGAGTCACGTCACATAAATCAAAGTGTCTTCCACTGCCATGACTGCTTGACTGCTTCCCCCAAACTGCAGCCAGCACATCTGGCTGCAGTTGGGAGAAACTTCTCCGGCCTGAACTGCGCACAAATCACAACTCCCGTGGATTGTCATGTCCACGCCACAGCCATCCTTCTACTAGGACAAGACGCAGACGGGTCGAGTAGCGGAGACAGAGTGCACGTCAACCTCGCCTTGTGACTTCTGTCTGACAGATTCTGTCCTGTTTAGCTAATAAAAGCGGCGGGTGGCTTGTGATTTAATCAGGCTCTCACATAAACACTGAACTCAATTGTGGATGTGCTGTGTAAGCTGTGCTTCTTCTGAAGCACAGCTTACATAGTTATGGCTGACTGGGTTTATTTTTTTGGCGCTTATCTGAAGAAAGACACTGGTCTGTATTTGCATGAGACGGTGCGTGACTGTACCATGTGTGGTCAAGCTGGAGAGAATCTTGTGCAGCATTTACTTGTGTCCACACTCGTCACCTTGAACGTTCTATGAACGCTTGCAGACAACGTTCGCTGAACGTCAAAATAAAACACCTTTAACTTTCTAATGGACATTGTCTGCGAACGTTCAGCCAACATCTGGCAAACGTCCAGCCAATGTTCAATGATGATGTTTCATTTTGGCGTTTGCCGAATGTTGTCTGCAATCGTTGAAAGTTTGCAGACAATACTTTGCCAAACATCATAGTGGCCTGGATTAATGACATTGAAGACTACCAAGGCAAAAGTATTGATAGAAAAATAACACTTTATTCTGCTAGACATGTATGTACATAAGAGATATCATCAGTAAAACATTCATCTGAAAAATACTGTATAAGAGCATCAATTTTAATGCAATAGGTTTTGGAATAAAAAATGCATAATAATAAGAGGAAGAAGAAGAAATAACTCAGAAAATGTCAGCATTTTAAAACATCCATTACTTAGATAAATACCTTAGGATATATTTCCAAAACCTTAATGCTGTGATGATACATACACAGACTGTTAAGTCTGACAAGAAGGTCAAAATAGAGCAAACAGGTAACGGGGCAAATAACTTTTTCAAGTCAGATCGGATAGAGATCTTTGAGGATTGCATTCTATTTACTTCCATCTCTGTCCATCTTCCTTCCCTACACAATGACACTGGTACTTGCATTAATGTTACTCCTTAAACACTAAAAGAAAGACGATTAAATCTTGAACATACATGAGATGCATTCACAAGCGCTGTTTCTGATGCTTAGCAGCAAGATTAGAGATACCATTTCTGCTTGTTCTACTCGTTTTTGAGGACAGGACCTTGAGAAACGGCTCCGTCTTTAAAAATGGGGAGTTTCACAAAAGAACTGATAGGAACATTAAGCCAGACACGGGTTGCCTCCCTGCTTTCACTGCACAAAGGGAGGACAGTTCGGTGTTGCTGATAGTGGCATTAAAACTGCATTTTGCTCCACTCCTCAAAGTGATAGCCAGCTCGCTCACTCCTCGCCCTCCCTGACTTCTCTCCGTTCTCACCTGCAGAGATGCCCAAGAAAAACATGAGCCAGCAAGGCCTCGCCGTCACATGTGATGATACCGGCACATACTTCTTCTTCTACAGATGCATCTTAATGGACACTCATCCATGTGCTTACAGCGTTCTAGTCTTGACTGATTTCAGAGTTAAGAAAAATACCTAGGCGTGTTTTTAGTGTAATTTGATAGAGGTTTGTACTGCTGTGGTACATCTACAAAATCACTCTGACAGGCAATAAGATGTGAAATTCTGGGTCTACTTTAGACCATTCCTTACTTGTTTGGTAGTGTTGCAGGTTAGTTTTTACCAAAGGGGTCCATTAAAGTAGCCCTCCTTTTATTATTATTCAATTCACAGTGTGTTATGCACCAGTACTACTGGGAGCTAAACCCACAACCTGATGCTTCCACCTACATGCTTGACAGGTATTACTGGGCCTCACCTCGACTCCATAGCTGCTCTGTAGGCCAGTTAGCTCCCGTCTGGAATGAACTTTTTTTTCTTGTTTGACATCTTTTCAGTCCATGTTGGTGTTAAACTTCCTTATTCATTGACAATTGACAGCAGCACTTCTATTCCAGGGTACGCTTCAGCCTTGGTTATTGCTTGGTTGTTCCTTTTTTTTTTTTTTTTTTTGTAAACGTGCGGCTGCTTTCTGGAGAAATTGATACGTCCATTTAATTTGTACTGTTGGATCTGCATTTGTCAATAAGTGGCGAGTTCTTGGGTCTTCATGAACTTCACTGGACTTCACAATATCTCCAGGAATACAATGAAATTAGAAATGTACAGCATCCACAGCAACTTAAGTTTATTGGGGAAATCCAAAAAGTTCAAGGAGCTAGCTAGATACAAAACAAAATGTAAAGATTGCATTCACTGATCAGGTGTGGTCTCAGGTATGCAACAAAAGGCTTTCTTTGGTTGCATCAGGTGTGCTGAATAAAGCACAATTCAAACTACTGGGCAGTTGACAGTAACATCAATTATTTTAGAAACATCAGTCAAGAAAATTGTCAAAAGCATTCAGGGACGCAGACAATAAGATGGCAAAGACCCTGGACAATTAGGTCAGAAGCATATTTTGTAGTTTTAAAGGAACAATTGCTTCACCACCTAAACATGGATAGACAGATGAAGTGTTCTACCACTTTGAACACTTCTCAGAAGGCAAGTGTTCAAAAACTCTTACCACAGTAAATTGACTGTGACCACTCACCTCACCAAAACCACACAAACTTAACATGTAACATGTTTTCTTCCAGAATTGTCTGTGATTTAGCTCCATCTATCCACTCCGTTCCCAAATCTGCTGAAGAGAGCATCCCCACAGTATCATTTAGCATGTGTTAGTGTAGGGATGAAATGTTAACGTTAATCTGTGTGTTCATTTCTGTGTTCATTTTCTGCCGTACACAGTTTTTTTTTTGTTACTAGGCTTACTGTGTCCTCTACCTGTTGTGTGGCAATCCAGACTTTACATGCCTTTCTTTCAAGAATAACGTTCTTATAGTCTTTTTCTTCTTCTTCACATTCACACAATAAAATCCCAGAAAAATGTGGAAAAACAAGATGTTATTTTTTTTTATTATTGTTCAAATTTTAAGGTTTATTCATGAGTTTTTCCAGAGACCTGTACCTCTCTGTGATAAGAGAATAGCCTGGGGACAGAATGCCAACAGACTGGAGCCTCAGAGATCTCATCCGTTTCAATCCCACCGTGGTCCGCTGGTTGCCCAGTCTGACCCGCAACCTTTCTAATTTGGTGATGAGCTGTAAAGTGACCTGCCTGCCCCGGGTTGCAACAGGAGTGGGATTCCAGGGATGGGTGACACCGTAGAAGACACACACACACACACACACACACACCCCACCTCCCTTGTCACTCTCTCCCAGTCCCCCCTTGGACCCACGGGGAGACCAAGGGCCCCCCGACATTATCCCTCTGCACCCATCCAACTTATGGGTAAGGTGAGAAGCCAGGAATAATTGATGATGATGTCGGCAGTGCTCTCTGTTTGGGCAGAGCAGGAGACACTTCCTCACCCTCCTGCAGAGGGCTTACTGTCCTGACACTTCCATTAGCGCTAATTGGTTTGAAGTCGGCCATTCCATTGGGCGCTTATACGTTTTTGATCTAGTGAAATCATTTTATTCCTCTGTTTCTTTGCTGTTTAGTTTGATTGATTTTCTTAGTCTCAAACTGTCTGCTTGCTTTTCTCTCTCCTGCTCAGCCACCTGCACTCTTTATTGTTTCATTTTTTGGGGGGAGGTGAGGCAAGAGTGGGGGGGGGGAGTTCAGGGAGATTGACTGACTCTAATCCAAGTCCACAGAAGAGGTTTAAAGCACTCTAGTTTCAGCTAATCTTCCAGCTCGGGCCTAGCCGGGCATGAAAGTCGCTTTTTCCATGATAGGAATGGACAAATAAAGGTTTTTCCCAGCGCTCCTATGAAAGAGGCCTGTGTGCGCTGTGGATTAGAGCCCAGTGTTTTCTGTCTCTGTTTCACAATTAGACTGAAATGGATGATGCCTCAGTCTGTGTTTATTGCAAAAGATTTTTCTTTGTTTTACGCAAGACTGCAAAATCATACATTTTGCTATATTACAAGAGCAGTTATGAAAGTAGATCTTCTTAATGAAAAATGTGACATGTTACTTTGATGCATTCAGAATGAGCTAAAACCAACTTTTCCTTTTATTCTCCAGGCCAGCATGCCATCAAAATGCCATCAGGCTTTAGATCTAAATAGTGCAGATGAACAAAGTTTCATATTTGTTTCTGTTTACTTCTTTCCTTTTCCTCAGTCTTCTAAATGCTATGATCACATGTCTCAATGGTAAATAATCTCAGAATGTAATTGATAAGTATGGAACAACCCGTCTGAAAGGTTTGAACCAGCCTCGAGCCTTTTGGAAAATGTTTTTAACAGATGTGCACATAAAGACTCGTTCTCCTTCGCAGAATGGTTTGAACTCAGGCACATTGGATTGAGAGCATCTGTGACCCTCAATTTTTCTGGTCTTGCCACATTCAATTTTTCAATAAAATTTTGTTTTGGGCTTTAACTAGGCCATTATTAAAATTCATATTACTTAGGGGAAAAAACTGATAAAGGCTGCAAAAGACTTAAGACTGAGGAGAATCACCTTTAGCAACACAACACAGCCAGAGATTCAATATAATGGTACAGATATATAAAAATACTCTCAAGTATAGAGCTAAATCTAACTGAGAATCTGCGACTGTTCATAGAAGTCAAAGTATTATTCACGTAAGAGTGATGAGTGAGGAAGACACAGAGAGAGGGAGAGAGAGAGAGAGAGACGCGCGCTCCTGTGTGTGTAACTACTTTTGTGAAAGAAAGAGAGAGCGCGCGAGTGAGTGACGTTTCTGATCAGGCACTTACATGGGCAGCACCTTCTAAAGGAAGGGGTCCTCCTTGAAATTCAGTTTCCCTGGCAACTCTTGACAGCACCGCCGTCTTCCAGACATGGTACTTATTTTCTAAACATTTAGTGGGTTGGGTTTCTTTTTTTGCTCTCTAGACTGACTGTGAAAGCAGGCTGACAACAGCCGCCATTTAACTATACTGTCTATGCAGTGTTTGTAGTTCTAGCTGTGGGTTGTTGCTAGTGTTTAGCTAAAGTTAGCCCGCTTGTTGCTCAGCTTCTCAGTCTTTCAAACATTAAGAAACTATTGTTTCGTGGATTTGTAAGCTGGTCAGGTTCAAAATTAGGTTACTCTTCCGGCTGGAGAATGTCATTGGACACCATTGGAGAAGATGGCATCCAGCTCCGTTCAAAGAACAGATTAGCATACGTTCATGCTGCAATCAGTGCCCAACAGACCTAAACATGGTCTTTACAAATAAAGCACAGTACTGAGCTACTTTAAAAGCAGACAAATGTCCACGATTACTTGACGATCCTTATTTTAAATCCCAGGGTTTGTGTTTTTTTTAGCTGCATGGATGAGACAGACGTGTTCGAGATCTCAATTGGCTTTTCTATTCCTAAATCATTATTTAATATTCTTGCAGGAAAGAAAAATTCCAATGTTGAGTAATATTTATTTTTAACAAAGTCATCATCTGTACAGTCCGTCCTATTGATCCATTCTAAACGAATTTAAATTAAGCATTTTTAAAAATACTTTTAAAATTGATCCGAGTATCTTGGAACTTCTGGTTAGTAATCAATTACCTTCTGTTTCCCTGTGGTAAAAATAAAACCTGACATCAACGCCCCTGTTTTTTTAATCCACTCATTCCATGATGGTACAATGACTCATAATTATGTTACCACAGTAAGATGGGAAAATATGTCCAAAGCTAACTGTCGGTATTATCTTGTCTTCACCTGGTATCCATAGGAACCATTTAAGATAATCAATCTGCCAAATGGCTCCTCATGAGTCATTTCTGTCCTACCATCATAAATGTAAACATGTGGAGTTTCATGAACATTATAAGTACTTTAATTAGAACCCTGTGACTAAGTTTGAGATTGTAGGCAGAAAACACGACTGAAGGTTTTGTTGTGGAGACAGATGGAAAAAATCAAGAATCAAGATGAAGAGCTGAAAGCATAAAAGAGGACCCAGAGCTGTGGAGGGTTGTTTAAAAAAAAGTAAAACACTCTACTGAGCGGTGTCCTGTTGCCAAAATGGATTGTTGCAAAGCAGCAAGGGATCCAATAATTGTACCACTGATGATGACTTTATTGAAAACACTTATTTCTCGACATGGACTCTTGTTCACCACTGAATAAATATGCTTAGAATAAAAACAGTTAATGTCAACATTTTTCAGCGTTAGTTTATTCTGCTCCAATACAAGATGAAGTTGTTTTAAGGCTTTTTATCCATTTTCAACTGGAGTGTAGTGAGAGTACACTACTTTGACAGGTGTATTAAATATTTACAAGGTTGGGCTCTGGAAGATCTCCACTATGTACTAATAGTTAAACTATTTAAACTCTGCCAAAAAAATAAATGTTCTTAGTTTGGTGTGCACCAACTTGCTCATACCTCCCTAAACATGACTGACAGCTGAACCAGTGAGGGGTGTCATGTTTGACATGCTGTAACTCCTGTTTTTGTTTTTTTGTTTTTTCTCCCCTGCTCTTAATCTCTAGTTGCATTATTGGGATTACAGCACAATAAGCCCTTCCTTGTTCTGTATTCACAGCCAAATCCACCCCATATCCAGAAGAACCATCACACCCAAAAAAAAAAAAAAAGTGTGGGGATGTATGATGACACTTGAGCTGTCAACCCTCTTGTGTCCCTTTGTGCCGTAGTGCCCAGGTAGATGACCTCACGGAGGAAATGGCTGATAATGCAAACAGATAAGGCTCCTGGTACCTGTTGACCACAGTCAGAACCTCCTAAATCAGGTCTTCCTGACATGCTGCTCCATCTGTGACTGGCTCAGCGACACCCACAAGGCATTGAGCCCTTATCTGCCATGGCCCCTGCTTAGCATTCACGCCATTCATGCGAACAATGCTACCGCTTCCCGCTCATTGGATCTGTGACTGACAGTGGGTGTTGGTGCACTTGTGTCTGACTTCAGCCTCTATCTGACACCGGGCTGTTTGTCCAGCCTCGATACCCCCACCAAGACACAATAAAGGGCGTGACGCTTCCCTTGCTGTTTTTTCCAACTGGACCTCAGTAATGGAGCTTGCTCTCTATTCGGCACATCGGCTTCCTCCTCAGGAGGACTTGCATTAGGCGGGGGAGGGTCAGGACAGAAGGGCTGACTAATGGTGAGTTCACCACCTACTGACCAGTCCGCGAGGTAAAAATACCATTACGTTCAGACAGTAAAATGCATGAAAGCAACGGATAAGGGTTCTGAATAGATGAGGTACGATGGGTTAGCCAAAGATTAGACCGTGCATTGAGACTGATCAATGATTTAAGGTGGGGGTGGCCAAACTTTTTGTCACATGGGCCAAAACCAAAAAGTAAAAACATTTAGAAAAATTTCAAAAAAAAAAAAAAAACAATTAAAGTTGTTTGATTTTTTTATTCAAGAAAAAAAAAAAAGTCACTTTCTTCCAAAATGCTTGCTATATTTCACCAAGTTTTATAAATTACATCAAATCTGACCTGGGTACAGTAGCTTTTCAGTAAAAGTCTCTACATAGACGTGGTTCTACTTATAAAAAAGAATGGTTATAAAACACAAATACTCTGTGTTGTATTTAACTTTGGACATCCCTGATTTAAAGTAATCTAGATCCACTCTACTGTATTTAAATGTTTTATGGTTCAAATTAAGGGGTGGGCATTTATCGCATTGTTTCTCATTTATTATATTTCTTATAAGACTTTTGATTTATTGTTGTCATAAGTTCCAATTAATGCTATTTAAAAATCCCTAAAACCGTCAGTATTGTGGGGATTGTTAGTTTTAGTATTTTCTCCACTGTTTTATCAATGAGAACATCAATAAATATCAGTAAAATATGAGTAAATACAATTAGTGTGAACAGTTTAGTGATTAAAAATCACATTAATTTATATGACTGGCATGCTAAAGAACCGGGTTACAAATGGGTGTGTTTTCCAAAAGCAGCATTTGTGTTTGTCAGGTTTTGATTGCTGTGTCATAGTAACAAATAATATATAGTTCTTGTCATTTTTATTGCTATAATAGTACCCCAAACCCTGTGATAAAACTTTTAACTCCATATTGCCCAACCCTATCTCCAATAAATGACATCTTCCCTTAAAAGGTTGATTACTATTGTAGTCAACTTTAATAATTTTGAAAGTTGACTGACCCAACCAGGGATAGGAACCAGAAGAAGTGGAAATAATGTGTTGCATGAATTCTTCAGAAAATAACATGCAATTGAATCAAATTATATGGTAGATTTAAATAGCTTTATGGTTGCTCATTTTTGTAATTCATGAAACTACATGAAAAACCATTGAGCGAAGTGGGTCGTAAGGCGCCAAGTGTGTCAAAAAATGAGGGTTTTGATTGGTTAAGCAGTGAATTGAGCTGCTGCTACTTTGAGCTTCATACGGAAATTGAAACGTCCAGTCGCTTTGTCTGGCGTCTCTGTGAAATTACTATGTCTGAGAAATCGTAGCAGCTTCGAGACTGTAACGTTTTACCGTCGGCCGAGCCACGCCTAACTGGAACTTCTTCGCCAGGTGTCGGTTTTGGGTTTTCATCGTTCGGCTCACGTCTCATGCTCGACTGGTCCGATATCGGAGCTCGCATCTCCGGATCCTCCGTATTGGCTCCCGTGAAGCGGGCCCATTACAAAGCTCCTATAATACACCCTTGTGATCGGCATGCCCCTCCCTTCCTGCTCGCTCTTATTTATGAATGGCACATCTTATTTTTGACAAAGGGGGCAACTCAGGTGGGTAGCTGCTGCTGGGATCACTTGATACTCTGTACAGAGCAAGGCGAGGAATGTGGACAGGCATCCCTCCCTTGCCTCTAAACTTTGATGCAGAATATCATAACGAATACGCCTGACACACGCTGCGATGAAGATGGGGAGAGGAGCTTTGCTGCAGTCGTGGGGGCACGAGGGGGCACAGATAGTGACTGTTTGATCTGGAGGTCGCCAGCCCCTTCGATGGTGTTGAGAGATCCTTGGCGGACGAGGCTGGCTCTTATTTAATAACATGAAGGGGAAGCAGACCTTTCTCTCATAATTAGGCCTAATTACCTGGTAGGTGTGGACAGACAGCCCAAGAAGAGACAAACTGCCTTTATCCACAGTCTTAGAGTCAGATTACCCCCAAGCTGTCTTATCTGTTTGGAGGCCAGCAGGAGCCTTGGTACTCTTCTTCTTGCTGGCTCCTGTATATTAACCAGTCAACCTGATTTATTACGGCCTGGTCCGTGGCACCCGGGTTTAATAATGCATCTTCATTACTCTTCTCTGTAAGTCAGAGAATCTTTTCCAGGATGTAAACCGGGCGAAGCGTAGTTCTGCTGACCTGTTTTCCTTCTGCAAACCGATGCAGAATGCGTGTGGGATGGATCCAGTCAGCTGTTTGTAAAAAAAAAACAAGTCCCGTCTTCCACAGCCGAACTGGGAAGCAAAACGCGCACACTTGAGAGATTTCAATAGAAAGAATTTGACAAACGTCGGCCGGACTGTTTGCTCGGCCACCTCCGTCATTTGGCGAGCAAGGCTCTAAGGGTCCGTTTGAGTGACATCTCGCCGATGGTTTGTTTGTTTGCAGTATCTGTCTCTCTTTTCCCAAGCCGCCTGCGTGTTTGTGTTTGGGTTTGTGGGCGACCCACTCGCAGCCACAACAACAGGAGCCATTGTTGGAGGCAGTTTCAGGGACTGGAAATGGCTGATGCCTGGGAAAAAAAAAACACAAAAAGAGTGGCAGCACTCCCAGGAGGAACTTGTGGTTTTGGGGATAAAGTGGCAAACGCACTTATATGTTGCTTTGGTTCTAGTAGCATCTCAGTGAATATGAGGTTTTCCAAGTGTAGATTCAAGAAATCACCCAAGTAAAGGTTTTTAAAAAAAAACCTATTAGGTGAAAAAGCTTCTCAAGTCCAATTAGTTGAACTGCCTGATTTATCTTTAGAAATGATGTAATCACAGACATATGAAATATTGTGCAAATATTGGAACTTCTGAATAGTAAAGTGGAAAATAAACAAAGAAATCATTGACATATTTACCATACAACCAATTAAGGAACAAGAAACATACATTTCCAAACCTCACTATTTCATAACATGAACCTTTTGCACTGATCAGGATTTTAAATCTGGAAGTTGAACACAGTTACTCCGGGTTTAAAGTCATTTCCAGCTTCGAAATTAGAAGGCTGTTTTTCTGCTTGCTTTAAATGTCAAAACTGTTGCATTTTCTCCCAAACCTGCCACCGAGGAGCCAGTTCACCTTGCTCCTGGCCTGGGAAGTTGTTTCTTTGACTGACAGCTGGTTATGACGCATGGGTGGAAAGATTTGCAGCTTTTGCTTTTTTAGACAATGAGAGGAGCCAGTTTTCTGCTGTTGTTTCTCTGACTCAGAGCTTCATCAAGCTTGCTGCAAGAGGATAATAAGAGATGCTTAATCCACCTGTTATCAGGATGAGCCTCCTGCTCAGGAATGCAGCCTTACCCACCTTTCACTGAAGGAACGGCTTAACAGATACCCCCCCCCTAACAAAACTCAATGATTTTCTTTTCTTTTTTACCTTCCCTTTCATAAACAACACCAAAACAAAGTTATTGGTTTACTTTGTAGATGCGTATAAATACAAGCGGTGTCCTGATCAGGTTTTTCCAGACGTATCTTAGTTTTGGAGTTTCTTGGAAGCCTTATTACAATTTCAGGAAATTGCACTTCTTGTCTTTCTAAGATGTTGTTTTAATTCAGCTACTACGTGCAACAAACATTGACCTTGAAGTTAAACATGTGCTGCTGGTTCTTTGATTGAGAAAGTCGTTTTGAATCCAGGAGAAAATTAAGGGAATCAAAGAACATCCCCATTGCATGACAGAGTTAGTCAAAGATACCTTCTGTTTGTTGTGTTTATATACTGGGAAAAAAAAGTTAGATTTTTCAGTTTTGATTCATTTAGTGATCCAAAAAAAAAAAAAAAAAGGAAAATTCAGATCTCCTGATCAACAGGGATGTAAACAGGCTGAAAAGTCTGGAATGTAATATGTTTCCCTGTAGGTTTACTACCCTGATTTTTAAATAAAAGATTATCTGGACTTATTGTGTGTGGCCATGTGTGACGGATGGATAGGTGGATTGTCTAAATGGAATTTTGCCTTGAAAATTGTGTAGGATTCCTAGATATTTGTAAAACCATCCATTTCCCACCACTGACTGATTGATTGGTCCTCATTGATAAATACTACTGTCTCAAGCAGTCATAATTTTGTGCATGTGTTACTTTTGGTTTTCTAGAATTTAAAAAAACAATGGAAGGGTACATTCAATTTAAGTCCATTCAACTACAGGAATACTTTATTCACCCCAAAGAGAAACTAAATAATGTTGTCATAACTCGTCTCCAGTAGCAGTCAGTTTTGCAACAAATCAGGACTCTGACTGAAGACTGTTACTGTATGAAAGTCTAATGACTATCATGACATTCTGACAACTCAATATTTGGATAGCAGAGACGATATTCCACAATAGAAGATCTTGGATGTCACCATCATTTGTTGGCAAGAACTGCTAATCCATCTCACTTGCTTTGGCCACTCGTGTTTTTTTTGTTTGTTTTTTTTTCTTTAATCTGTGTTTGACTAGATGGGCAGAGAGATGTTGGAGTCAGATGTCTGATGCTTGCTCAGTGTGAATAGATTTTGATAGATGGAAGAGAGTTTGAACTTCTTCCTTTCTCTGCTTGCATCCATGAAACCTCCTTTTCAAGACTTCAGGGATTTTCAGTCGTCGTCATTCAGGTATCAGTTAAGTTGTTTGGATGCTAGTCAGTTGCTCCCAGCTGTAAAAACATCACCGTGTTGCCACAGTTGCGCATCATAACACCTGTCCAAAATTAAGAATAAAAGTATTTCCTGCTGCCCATCATCCAAAACCAGAGGGAAAAAATATTGTCCAAACGTGCAACGCCTCAACGGCCCCCCAAAAAATACGAACAAAAGGCGACAAAAAGAACAAATCAGAAGACTGTGTACCTGTTCTTGAGGAGCTGGCGTAGCGACTGTGTCCTTGTGTGACTGCGGTCCTTTGAGCTTAATTAGGCGGGCTTGTCGGGGGTCTCTGTCTCTCTGCTTCACAAGTTGACATGGACAATTTAACCACTAACCTCCTGAAATGAGCTGCTTCTGAATGCCTCAGGCTCCAGTTTCAGTGTCTGCTGATTGCAGGGGGTTATGATGAGTAAAAGTAAACCAGGAAGGCCGATCGTAGAGAAGCCGCTTTTTAACCTGCCAAGTACACCTGAATGCTACATTAACCCTTGTATGTAGAAATGTGGTCCAACCGACCCCACACACGTAAAACTTGTATCATTTGCCATAGTCCTCTACATTTGCCTCAGTTCTCGCATGCACGAGGGTTAAGTTTATGATTTCATATCGTTTCTCGTATTTCAAAATGTTCCAGAAAACTTTCGGATTTACTTTAGCTGTTCCTGTGCTGACTCACGACGTCAAAGAGTTCATTCAGTCGTGATCAGAAGCAATATATGCTGGAAGGAGTAAGATCTCAAGGAATGCAACCTCTAAAATCTGTGCAACACCTTGATTTTTTTAAAACGGGTTTTTGTAAAAACATCGGATTTAACCAAGAATCACAAAGAGTTCCTCGCATGAGAAAATAAACCGAGTTTCACGTAGGAGAGTCGTTTCCTCCCAGCGTGTCTGTGGTTGATTCGGTTTCGTCGCCTGCCCAGCCAACAACCGAAATGAAAGTCTGAGATGTTACCTTTGCCTCTGGGACAACGGCTGTTGATCAGGAGAGGAATGACGAGCCCCAATTTCTTGTGTGTTTACTGTAATTAAAGTGTCACGACTTTTGATTTATGATGCGTTGACTAAGAGAGTTGTTATCACATGAAATCATAAAAAAAGGTAGGAGGGTGGTTGCTCTTACAGAGAAAATAGGAAATGAAGACGCCGAGTCCTGTGTTTTGCCTTGAAGGCAAAAGGGAGCTAATCTCAGATAAGCCTCTGTTAGAGGTTTGTGCAACAACAAAGTCGTAGCTGTTTGTTTGTTGATGAAATGACTTGGCTGATCTCGTCTCTTTGTTGGAGGGCTTTGCAAAAGTGGCAGAAGCACAGTTTTTATCGGTCACCAAGGCATGTTTTCAATGGAGTCCAATGTAATTTTGTCTTTCAGTGTTTGGCCTGCACCTGATTGGTCGATGTCTCGTCCAGCTCCACGTCCCGTTTATACCTTAAGAGGGGCCGGCGCTCCTCTTAACACCCTCCACTTCAGCTGCTCTGGAGGCGACACCCCCCTGCTGTTTTCTGGGTGAGTCAATGAGGGCTGAAACGATTAATTAGATTAATCGCGATGAATCGATTGTTGAGATAAGTGTCAACTAATTCAGGAATCCAATCATAAAGTGGTCTTTACAGACACTGAAAAAGGTAATTTGCTGAAAGAGCAACATATTAATAACTGCAGTTAAATAACTATTAGATCTATATGCATTTTGCATTAAAGAAAAAAACTTATCTAATAACTTGTGGGTGGAGCTGTGAGTTGAGTAGTGTTAAAAAATTTTTTTATGTTATACCTCAGTAGATTATTGACAAAACCTCTGTATTTTTTAGAATAAAACAAATAAATCTGGTGTTTGTACGTTTGCGGTAGAGACTTTGTAAATAACCAGGTGTTTGCACAATTTTGCAGGTCTGCAAAAGGCGCCGTCCACATCTGGAACCTGAACAGCCGGAGGGCAGAGCGGGTTCTGGAGGGTCATGGAGGTAATTCAGTCATCTGGGTCAGCACGCTGCGGACAGAAGATACACTCATCAGGTAAGTCTCAAGATCCGCTCCTATTGGTCGGTCTGCAGACACCTGCTGCTGGACCCACCTGCAAAACTTTATCTTCGTCTGTTCCTATTGCTTTACCACATTAGGACTTTTTGCTTTGGTTAGAGGCAAACATCATAAAGATAATCAGTCACTCACACTTCTTACTCCAGTGCAGTTTGGCTATCTTTGCATATTTTGTGTTTTTTTTTTTTCCCAACGGTGACGTTGTAAAATAAGACTCTGTTCATAAAAAGCCGAGTGTTTGAACTGTTTGGTGTCGACTTGCACTGACTCTGAAGACAGAATTTAAGGATTTATTTAGTAAAGCATAGACTACTGTCAGTAAATGCTTTTAAATCTCAGAGTGACAATTTAAGTTGACTATCCATTTGTGTATGGATCTTAATAAGTATAGCTTTTGTCCCTTTTTCTTCTTCTCTTTGTAAATGGAGCAGTCAGGGACGTGACATGCGGGTCTGCCTGTGGGATCTGACAGAAGGCCGCAGCGAGGCGCTGGACTCCGTGTGGACAGGCAGTGTTGGATTCTGTCAGTGCTCCGTGCTGGAAATGAGCCCATCCAGCTACCTGCTGGCCTTTGCTGGCCCGCAGACCGAAGAGGTGAGAGGTCAGGCACAAAGGGTATTTCTAAAATTTGAGATGGTTAAATCTAGCGGTAACTAGCTGCTAATATAGCCTTTCTTGCAACATGCATCCTTTTATTACTAGTGTAATAAGCAGTGCACTAGTGCAAAAGAATTGTCAACAGTTTCTTTGTTGATACCGAAAACTAATGTTTTTTTGGGGGTTTATTTGGCTTTTAGTCCATTATTTGTTAACGGATAACTGTATGTCTAAGCAAGAGCTGCTTTCTTATTTCTGAATCCACTCAAGGATTGCGAGTGAGTTTGTCAAGACTTAACATGACACATAAACATAAAATCTGCAGACACAACTGTCAAACAGTAATCAGAATGACATCATTAGGAAAACAGCAGGGAAGAGCATGAACTTAATACCAAACACAGTGTCATTAATCTGGAGATTTTATAAATGGATTTGTAGTGTTGTTTTCCTGGACGGATTGGTTATATCTCAATCAACTTTAAAGACAAATGTCAATCTACACCTTTTGAATTGGTTGTAAATTTTCTCTAAGCTGCATCTGATAGTTTAAAGTTAATTTGCCTTAAATTGTGTGTCAATGTGTGAAAGTCTAGTCTTAAGCTCTTTGAGTTGTAAGTACTTTTAGAAAAGCGCTACATAAATTCAGTCCTTTCACCATTTTTACACTGACATAAAACATTTATAACTCTTTATGTAACTTTTGAAAAAAATAATTAAGTTTTAAAAGCGAAAAATCCTTAATGTAATGTTTCGTACTCAAAATATACAGACAATTCTTCTTTAAATGAAAAAATTGTAAAGGCAATGCCAGTAGTGCAACAATCTGAAACTTTACACATTTCAAAAATTTAAAACATTTAATTATCTAAAGGTATGTCACGTTGAGATTTGGCCTGTTTTACCTCAACTTTATGTGTATGCATGTAATGTGTAACAGTTTTACTGTAATTATGATGTTAAATACTTGAGTTCATTACTTCCTTCTGACTCTTTTTTTTCTATTTGACAAATATTAAATCTGACTGGATTACGTCTCAGTCAGTATTTTCATTTGGTTTTTAAAAACCTACCAAAACTGTCAAGCATTTATATCACACTTCCCCTCTTTCAGGATTTTATTTTATTTAGTATTTTGCAGGTAGGATTTTTTTTTTTTTTTTTTTTTTTGAAAACTGTTGTAATTTTTTTTGTCAGTAAAATTATGACTAAATAACTGCCTGTCAGCCAAAACAGAAACAGCAGCTACAAAAACTGATGCTTAAGCCTAAATGCAATTTTACAAAACTCGTTTCATGGTTTCACGAGTCAAAGATAACCCAATTTAGTCATAGTAAAAGACGAAATGTCATGCATGGTGGTGGTAGCATCATCATGGGGGACGAGCTAATGGACTTCTAGAGTGACCTGGACTTCCACCCTATTGAAAATATATGAACACTGATTGGTTTCTGTGCTGGAAACCAACCAATTTAAATGAACTCCTCCAATTCATACAAGTTCTTAAACATCTAACCAGGATCGCGCCATAGGCTTGTTGATTGCTACCAAAAATGTGTGGCTTCTCTGCGATTTACCAAGGGATTGTTATCTAAATAAATTCTCACCAACACTGTAAATCTAATATTTTAAGCCAGGAACTGTCAAACAGTAATCAGAATGTTTTCCTTATTAAACCTCTGTGGAAGAATTTAATCTGGACCAGGAGCTAAATATCGGTCGGTTGCGGTCGCGGCTGGTGACTTTCCTTTTTATTGAATGCTCTTGTCTAAAGCGCCTAATAGCCCTCAGCGATCCTTCGAGAGTAAGCTAAATTGTGAGTTTCAGACGGTAACAAATGACGAAATCCGTTTTGATTGATTAAATAGTCCAGGCGTCTGCTTTACACAGGGAGAAAAAAAAAAGAAGTTAACTTGGAATGAGATCACACTTCTGTCCGTCTCGTAGTTAATTCACGACGCCCGCGAGCTTGTACGGTTTTTGTGTGGAGCCACTGTCTGAGAGGTGAGACTGGATGGGGAGAAGGCAGCCAAAAGCTCATTCAGCCATCTTTTATTGCCTCCAGATTCATGTTACGTGCAACTTGAAAGGGCTGGGGGCGGTCACCTGATCCGGTCAGACGTGCCTCCGCTAACCCCCGGGTCCGGCATGCCCGGCCAGCGGGGCGCCTGTGACTCCCAGCACCTCAATAATGCTATTGTCCCAACAGACACAGACAGAGGCACACCTATGCAGCCATTGAGGGCAGACCAAAACGGACTGCAGCCCTCCTTTTTTTTTTTTTGTCATTTGGCATCTCCACCCCATTCCACAGACATAACGGACCAAGACAGATGCTTATCATGCATGTGCAAGTAAAACACCCTCATTAACGAATTTCTGCAGAAACAATGCACAGGCTCATGCCAATAAGCACGCACAATAGCGTGATTTACCATGTGCAAAAAAAAAAAAAAAAAACCAAAACAGGTCAGTATTTGGATATATGACATGAAAGTAGACAAAACAAAAAGTTCCTACTGAGGGTGTTTTTTCTCTATTTACTGCTCACATTGACATTCCTGCCAGCAGCAGATAACTGCTGTGGCAGAACCATTAATTAATAGCGTGAGTGTTTTATTTATGGGGCAGTTCGATGCCACACAAGAACAGAGATCACCTGAGGCACAGAGGAGCCTTAAAAGCTCCCTTTGTCAGGCACGCAGAGGTAAACATGGAGGACAGATGTGGCCTAGTGATAAAATACAGATCACTCCCTTAAAGGCCTGTTTAACGTGAGGCCTAATGACGATGAATATGCGAATCGTCGGCCGGGAGGAAGCCGGAGGAGTTAGTTTTGCCCCTAATGTGGGTACAGACCCGCACACTTTATCACTCCATCGTTTTTATTAGAAGTTGATTTGGGGGCTCATGTCATGTCGCCGGGTCAGGCTGTAGCTGGATGGATTACAGACAGCTAAGTGCTGGCTGGTGGTAGAATGATCTGTGGAAGTCTAAAAAAAAAAAAAAAAACAAACAAAAAGAAAAAACTGTAATTATAATGACATGATTCTGGTTGCAGCTGTGATGTTTGAAATCTGAAGGCAGGTTATAACTTGCACCTTGTAAACAGATATTGCACCCGCAAGTGTGCTAACCCTCAAAATATGTAGCTTTCCTCCCGTCGTGAAGACTGATTCATTAAGGTAAATATACAAAAATAATTTGAATTTAATTAGGCTAAATACAGTGCACATAAAGGTTTTAATCACCCCTGAACCTTTTCATATTTTGCCACACTACAAACTTCAAAGTAATGTATTCGAAATGTGTGTGATGGACCAACACACGATTTAGTACAATTGTGAAGCAGAAGAAACGTTAGAAAATATTTTTCTAATTTATTTATTTTTCACGTACTGTAATTCTGTTTGAATTTACCATCCCTTATGTTTTAATACTGCTAAATAAAACACAGTGCAACCAGATGTGTTCTGATGTCGGCTTCACTTGTTTTAATAATTTATTGATATTGATGAAAAAGTAACGGCTTATCCGTGAAATAATCTGCCACTTTTTCTCAATTGTTGACTTAAAACAAGCTCCTGTTTCTTGCTAAAAAGTTACTTCTAAGTTAGCTTTGTCTTATTTCAAGTAAACTAAGATATTTGCACTAGAATCTAGACCAAAAATATTTGGTAAGATTTAGTTTTTGCAGTGCGATTATTATTATTATTAGTGAGGTGCAGCACAAATCTCGGCTGTTATCCAACACATCATATGAAGTCCTGATCGGTGTTTGCCACAAGCCATGAAGGGAACACAGAAAACAAGTGGAAGATGGAGCTCCAGTCAAACTGTTTGACCTACACTCAGTTTGCAATGTGTGGCAGAAAACACATTAGTGTCATGGTGGAGGCAGCATCATGTGGAGGATGTTGAACTTCCAGCGAGAAAGCAAGACTGGGTGAAAAGCCAGAGCTACGATGAAATGACCCAGTCAAAAGTCCAGACCTAAAATCAACAACAACAAAAAAAAAAAAAACCTGCAGGTAAGCTTGAAATTTGCTGCTCCTTGACACTCTGTCCACCAAAGCATGAACAAAAATATCAGCGTAATTGCAGTGAAAGTTGTTGACTCTGGGTTGCTGAACACAACTTCAAACCACAAAC